CTTTGTCTCATCTCCCTCCTCTCTCTTTGTGTGTGTATGATTACCTCATCTCATTCTGACTGGTTACGATTTTGATTATTGATAATCATCAGCCGATGGACATTTATCTGGGCTTGCATTGTTGACGACTGTCTTCACGATCTGGGTTCATTGCAGGAGGGGGAAGACGATGATGATGACGATGACGATGATGATGAGGAGTAGGATGATGGTCGTGAATATGGTGTGTGTGTGTGTGGGGGGGGGGGGGGGGGGGGGGGGGAAGGGAATCGAATCGAATCGAAATCGATTGAATTTTCGATTTCGGAATCGAAATCAAATTGTTTTCGATTTCGAGATTTTTGATTTCAAGGAACGACGAGGGGAAACAACGAGAACGACGATGGAAGACGACGAAGAAGAAGAGAGAAGAAAGGAAAGAGAAAAGAAGAAAGAGAAAAAAAAAGGAAAAAATGAAATAAAAAATAATAATGTACCTGCGCCTTGTCGTCGGCGATCTAGGATCGTTGATGATGTGGCAGCGACGACGATGACGTGGCGACGATGTGTGGCAATGTCAACGGTGGAGATGGCGGCAACGGGAATGATGTGGCATTGTCGATGACGAAGACGATGATGACGAGGATGGCGCCGTTGAAGCTGCTCCGTGTCGATCAGGGCGGGCTGGAGGGTGATCGACGCCGCTCCGATACGAGTGTGACGAGGCAGAGGCAGAGCAGCCAGGCTGGGAGAGAGAGGGAGAGTGAGAGCACACACACACGCTCACTCAACTCGACGCAGATTCGACACTACTCGACGGACGCAGACACAAAGTGGCAAAGTCGCAAAGTCGCAGTCTTGAATTCCCGAACACAATGTCGAAGCAAAGTCACACTGAACACAAGCACTGGCTGAAAACTTGGTGCCCGTACTGGGCTTGAGTCCGTACCTAAGTACCGGACTCAAGTACGGTGCTGAGGGCGATGTGAAAATGCCTCAGGGCCAGAACTGAAAATCGAAAGTCTGAGAGTGGGCCCCAAAATGTCGGATGGCGCCAAGTGTCCGAAATCCAAAAGTCCCAAAAGAAGGATGTTGAAAATGGGCGCCAGAATGCAGATGGCGCCAACTGTCTGAAATCAGAAGAGCAAAAACAAAATAAAACAAGAAAATGGAAAAACAAAACAAAAAAAATACAGCAAGCTGGCGGGTGGTATCCCGCAGACCAGGGATCGAGCCCTGGCGGAGTCCGTAACATGTGTCCACCCGGCCATCGAGGTCCCCATTTGAGTTGGAGCACGGCGAGTTGGCCAATTTTCCCATGGACTCACTGATCCCACGTACATCAACATCTGATGATCCCGATGCCTTCATTTGCAGGATGCAGGGTCTGATTTTCAAAGCCTGTGACAAGATGCAGGAAGCCCAGCACCGCACACAGCAGCAGGCCAACAACCATTGGGACAAGATATTTCGCGCAAACTCCTCCCTCTTTTGTGGTCCAAGTTCTTGCACATCTCCGCGTACACTGACTTCCCCGGATGACGCTCGCACGATCCCCTTCTATGGATGGATTGCAGGAGATTGATACCATCATCGCGCATCGGCCCCGCAGCAACAAGCCCATGGAGTACCTAGTGCATTTCAAGTACTGCACCCATCAGGCTGATCAATGGATGACCTGCGAGGAGTTTCAGGCATCCTCTAAAGAGACTGTGGCGCCATATGCTTGAGAGCGACTTGCTCATCAGCCCTCCCGCCCAGCCTGAGTTCAGGTCCCTCCTTCGGATCGTCAACTTCGCCTCTTAATTAAGGGGGGGTGTAGCATGCCTAGAGCCTCCTACATGGGCCCTTAGGCCCGGCATTTTATTTAGGGGGGGGTATCTCCTTACTATCTCGTTTTCGGGCAAGCAGGTACGTATATCCGCCCCTAGCCCAGCACGTTTGCTTTTGATTCAGCTGGGCGTGGGGGCTATTTTGTGTGTTTTGAGGCCAGCCAGGTATCGTCCTTATGCTTGTAGATAGGCGTGTGTGCATTTTGTCTGTTCTGAGTCCACGCGTTGGGCATTTTGTCTGTTCTCAGCTCAGTGACACATTCCTGGCCCAGCTCGTTTTTGAGACTGGACCTGGATCCGATTTTTGAGTAAGGCGTTTCTTTCTTCCAGCCCTTGCTGCTGATGCAGCGTGGTAGGGCCTGGACCAGCATGGAGTCCCAGACCACACATTTCAGGACTAAGCCTGAGTCTTTGGTCACACAGCCTCCCATCTGGACCATCGATTCACTTTCAGATCGTACGGTTCAGATGGAGGCCGACCTGAGTGAGAGGCTGGCCCAGCACTATTTAGGAGAGGCCGGCCCAGTAGTTAGTAGGGGAGGTTCTCACTTCATTCGTGAGCCACCAGGCTGCCCGCTGGAGGAGTCCAGCGCTGGTGGAGGTAGAGGAGCCAGCGATCGAGGTAGAGAGGTGAGGTGGGGGAGACCACTCACCTGGCGCCATATCCATGGAGGTTCGCCACGGGCCATAGCTGGCCTTCTTCCTCTTCTTCGCATCTCTGCAGAGTACCAGCAGCTAGTGGTGTAGGAGGGAGAGAGACGGAGTGAGACGAGTGAGAGGGAGTGAGAGGTGAGTTAGAGCTCACTCACCTGACACCATATCTCTAGAGGTTGGTCACCAGCCATATCTGGTCTTCACCTCCTTCCGGATTGCTGCAGTACATCAGCGGCTCAATGCTCTGCCTTTCACCGGTCAGTATCATCATTGTGTGTGTGTGAGAGAGAGGGACAGAGAGGTTTCCATGTTCTTCTAATCCTCCATCTCTTCCTCTTCCTCCTCCTCTGTG